TGGTTCCGTAGATCTGCGAACGCTCTACGTATTGTCCGTAAGTTCGACGAGAAAATCCATCTTGGGGTAAATCGACTCTGTAGTCGATCCCCTACTCGATTTGTTGTTCCTTCGTGTGGAGGGTATCTGTGGATGCTCCTGTCCCTTGTGCCTGAGGGTCGTCGCGCGACCGCCGCTCCACTGGCCAGGTGGTTGGGGCCAGGATACTTCCCTCACCGTCGCTTTTCCCGACGGCGGCCGAGAACGAGAATGGATGATGAGGAGGAGGAGGAGGAGGAGGAGGAGGAGGAGGAGGAGGAGGAGGAGGCGGAGGGGGGAGGAGGAGGAGGAGGAGGAGTAGGAGAAGGAGGAGGAAGAGGAGGAGGAGGAGGAGGAGGGAAGCCCACCACTTCCCTGCCCACCTCCCCTCCCCCTTGCCCCCCCCCACTCCCGCCCTCCTCCTCCGCCTCCTCCTCCTCCTCCTCCTCCTCGTCCTCACCATGGCTTGCACTTGCACGTGGATCCCTGTGCGTCTCGTCGTGCGTCGGCCGCTCGACCACCAGTCGGCCCTCGCACGCAACCGCGGTGGCTCGAGCTCCGAGAGACCCGAGCGCGCCTCCGCGGTGTCCGCTGCGGAGGTGGCTGCTCGAGCGGAGCCCAGGTACCTGAGACCCAGACCTGGCCAGAGGCTATGGCCATACACACACACGCATACACTATATACATATGTATATAAATGTGTGTATGCATACATTTATATGTATGTATATATATATGTATACATATATATCTCTATATATATATATGTATATGTAGGTTGATGCCCGCATCAAACGGCAGCACAGCCGGCAAAGACACGACATTCGTGGCCACCGTGGCCCATGCCAGCTCGATGTGCGACTGCCCTGAGCGGCTGGCGGCCCACCCAGGCCCGCCGGACTGAGCCTTGTTATTCAGTCCGACACCGCCCTGGAGACCCCGCCAATCTTTCCAAAACTATCCGAAAGTGCTCCCAGGCAGTCCAAGAGAGCCCCACGACGGCGCAACAGGGTCCTACTCGCGGCCCGGTGCCCAGGGATCCTGGCTTGCCCCACTGCGAGCTGCCCTCGTGCCTGCAGCTGCCACGCGGGGGCTGCGTCGTTCGCCTCTGCCCGGCCCATCCAGCGTGCAGGCCCCTGGCGGCGTCCGCGTGCGAGGCGGGGGCCGGCGCCGCGCGGGCGGAGGGCGAGGTGGGCTCCGAGGGGGTCGGCTTCGCGTGCTGGTTCTTCTTCCTGCTGGGGATCGTCGTGGGCGTGGTGCTCGTGGTCCTGGTGCTCGCCTTCTTGCGCAGCGCAGCGTGCAGGCCGCCGTCCACGTTGCTCGCGAGAAGCCTGATCGTGAAGATGAGTTGGTGCTGCCTCTTGTGCAACGTGGACGGCCAGCCGCTCTGGCACCAGCGCAAGGTGCACGGGGTGGTGGTGCACTCGGCTGGTAACCCATACGTGGCAGCGACGCAGGAGGGCCACGTGTACGCCGAGAACTGATCGAACACGCCGCGCGGTGGAGCCAGGGGTTCCGCAGACTTCCAGAGGCTGTGTTTCGAGAGGGTTTACCGCTTCTGGCGTGAGCCCTCGACGGCTCGGGATGCGCAGTTCCAGCAGGCCGACGAGGACGAGGTGGACAGCGATGGGCGAGTGCTGCTGCTAGCCAGCGGAGGCGTTTTGCCCGCCGCGGGGTTCGCTTGGCTGCTGGCCGTGGACGCCATTAGGGCCGCCCATCGGCGACGGTCTCGCCTCTGTGGTGCCTGGTGCCGTCGTGCCCGTTGCGGCGGGGCCTGGCGTTGTCGTGCCCGTCGCGGGTGCCGCCCGGCGCGGGACCAGCGGCGGCGGCTGTGGCTCAGGGCGGCCCCGGGGCGGCCCCCGCCCCGCCGCGGCGAATTACAAGGGCCCCTGCAGGGCGCTGTGCTGGCGTGCGCGGCGCCCGCCGTGGGGACCGTCTGGCGGGCTGCGGAGACGGGCGGGGGGTGCCGGTTCGGGGCCATCGTGGCGGGGCACACCCGTGCGGCGCGCAGCTCAGGAAGCAGGGACATCCATGTGCTGGCCAACGGCAGTTAGCTCTTCGTGAAAGAGGTGACGCTGGACACCGAGCAACGCTTCTTTGACAAGGCCGTGAGCGGGGACGCCGCATCATGGCTGTACAGCGAACGCAACCGCCAAAGCCGACGCGAGCGCACGTGGGCCAAGATGGTGGCGGACGTCACGCGTGAGGAGTTCACCGGCGATTGGAACTCGCCCGTGCCTCGGTCGACCTGGTGGTGTCTGGAGTTCGTGAACCAGGAGGGGCTCGGGCTCGACGGGCATCGCGAACGTTTTCGGAGTGTGTGCAAGCTGGAGTCTTCGAGCTGGGGAATGTCCGAACATCGCAGCATCGCTCAGGCGTTGAAGTTTGGGCTCTTGCATGACCAACATGATGGTCGAAGTTTGATGATGTTGGAGTCCATGTTTCGTCGTCTCAAACGATCGAGTTCTCGCGCCCCGAGCGGGCTCGCGAGCAGGAGGCGATGGGGGGTACGGCGGAAAGCTGAGTTTTGGAGCAGACGGCCTTCTCAGATACCTCTCGTGCCGCGGGCTCCTCGCTGATCTGCCCGCTGCTTCTCGACCTGCGCGGGGGGCGAGGTCGAGCGCGGGGCCTCGCTCGCGAAGACCCTTCGCAGGGCGATGGGGGGAGCGCGCACAGGCCCGCGCCAAAGACCATGACCGCAAGAGGGATGCCGGGCGAGGGGGCCGAGCGCCGACGCGGCCCCGTGGGCCCCGCGCGGGGGCTTCCGAGGGGCCCTCGCATCCGGGCGGCGTGCCCCTTCGCGGCGGCGCCGTCGACGGCGCGCCGGAGCTGCCCCGCCCCCCCTCCCGCTCCCGCGGTGCCCGGCTCCGGGGGTCGGCCCCCGGAGCTGGTCGTTTTTCGGCTCCCGGGATGCATCTCTCCGTACGCTGCCCCTGGCCCCTGCTCCTGCCCCCCCGCCCTTTCCTCGGGCGATCGCGCGCGCGGATCCCGGGGGCGTGGATGGGGGGCGGGCCCCGCTTCCAGGGGAAATCGCGGATTTCCGCCGCCGAGCGAGACGGCGCCGGCCGCGTTCCGGGGGGGGGGGCGCCTCCGCCGATCCACGGATTTGGCGACCGCGCGCCAAAGCCATATGATCGCTGACCCGGGTTGGCGCGCCCCCGATTTCCCGGGGGGGGCGGCCCCCGCCCGCCGCATGCCGCGAGAGCTTCCCCCTCTGCCTCGGGGGGGGGTCGGCCTCGATGGGGCGCGCGCGGCAGGCGCGCCTCGCGCCGCGCGGCGGAGGCGAGGCGAGCGCGGGGCGGCAGTCCTGGACGTCGACCGGGCGAGTCGGGGCCCACGCGCGCGAGCCGCGGGCGCTGTCCCTGGCCCTCCTCCCAAGGGTCTCTGTCTCTCTCTCTCTCTCTCTTTTTTTTTTTTCTCTCTCTCTCTCTCTCTTTCGCTCTTTCGCTCTCTCTCTCTCTCTCTCTCTTTCTCTCTTTCTCTCTTTCTCTCTTTCTCTCTTTCTCTCTAGTTCTCTCTCTCTCTTTCTCTCTCTCTCTCTCTCTTTCTCTCTCTCTCTCTCTTTCTCTCTCTCTCTCTCTATCTCCCTTTCTCTTTTTCTCTCTCTCTCTCTCTCTCTTTTTTCTTTCTCTCTCTCTCTCTCTATATCAGGAGCTCTCAGGAGCTCTCAGGAGCTCTCAGGAGCTCTAAGGAATCTTCGCGTCTCTAGCTGGCGCGACCACGAAAGTGTTTTGCTCGGCCCCTACTCCCTCGCCCCCGTCGCGCCCCCCTCGAGCCGGGGCCGGCCCCTTCGAGGGCGGGCGTCGCGTGTTTTGCCGCCCCTCCTCCCCCTTCTCATCCTCCTCCTCCTCCTTCTCTCCTCCTCCTCCTCCTCCTCCTCCTCCTCCTTCTGCTCCTCGTCCTCCTCTTCTTCCTACTCCTCCTCCTCCTCCTACTCCTGCTGCTGTTCCTCCTCCTTGTCTTTCCTCGTCCTCCTCCTCCTCCTCCTCCTCCTCCTTCTCCTCCTCCTCCTCCTCCTCCTCCTCCTCCTCCTCCTCCTCCTCCTCCTACTCGTCCTCCTCTTCCAGAGTGTCGTCCCGTCGGCTCAGTCTCGAGCGCGCCTCTGTGCCTCGGGCGCGGTCTTTCCTTGCTCTGCTCCTGAGCTCCGTCGCCCCTGTGCTGGCGAGGAGTTCATGAGTTCCTTGTCCGCTCGGGGGATGCTCGATTTTCCCCGCGAGAACGGGGGGGCGAGTCGAGCCGTTGTTTGTTGCCGAGAAGTCAGTGAGCTCCGCCTTGTCGTGGCCTGCAGACGTTCGAGTCGCCGCTCAGCGGGGGCGGGGGGCGCGCCCCTCTGCGCTGGCGAGGGGCTCTCGGCCATTTCATTGGGCCCTGGCGATGGCATCTTCGCTGGGGGGCGGATCTATCCCGTGCGCTTTATCACATGGGCCCCCAGGCCTTTCAGAAAGGCGCTCGCCAATGTCGGCATCCTGGTGCGTCGGGCTGACGACGCTTCCGGTGGCGTCAGCGGCTTTGAGAGGCCCCCCCGCGCTGGGGGCGTCCTCGAGGTCACTGGCCAGGGGTGGTGGGTCGGTTCGAGCGGCGGAGGAAGGGCGAGGGCGCCCCTGTGCTGGAGGCTTGGGCCACGCTCTACTGCCACAGGCATCTCCTCCGCAATGGCTCTCATCGCAGTGAGCGCCTTGTCATCCTGGGCGATTCGATGAGCACGACCGGCGCAGTCTCAAGGAGTCGGGGGAGGGGGCTTTGGCGCCCGTCCGCCCCGGCGGCCCTCGCCAGCCGCGATGCTGGCGCGCGCCGCGCCTCGGGGGGCCGGCCCCAGGCCGGGCTCTGGTCGCCGCCGCGATGCCGCGCCGGGCGGCCCCCGCGTCGGCGAGTTGCTTCAAGCGGCCGGCGCCCTCGAGCCTGCCTCCGTCGTCGGCCCGTCCTCGGGCAGAGCTACGACGGCGAGCCGCGCGTCGGCGCCGGGCCGCCCACCCCGCCGGAAGGTCGAGCGTCGAGCCGACATGGCGGCCGCCCGCCCGGCGCGCGCTGCTCGGCCCCCAGGGCCGACGGTGCTCGAGACGGCGCCTCTCCAGCCGGCGACCAAGGCGCGCTGCCAGCAGGTCTACGAGGAATTCGTGGAATGGGCCGCGGGGCGGGCTCTGGACACCTTGGGCCAGGTGGGCGTGGCATTGGCGCTCTGGCTGGGCGTTCTCTACCTGGGCGGGGGTGCCCTGAGCGCGGGCTCCTGGGGCTGCGCGGCGGCGACCTACTTCGCTGGCCTCGACAAGGCCTCGGGGGCCCTGGTGCCCCGCTGCCGCCGCGACCTCCAGTGTTTCCGCAGGGCGGCGCCTCCCCGGCCGCCGCCCATGCGCATGTGCCCTACGTGGTGGTGGCCACCATTGTTGCGGCGATGCTGGCCATGCGCAAGCGGGAGAGCGCGCTGGCGGTCCTGCTGATCTTGGAGCACTTGAGGCTGGGCGAGACGTCCCGGATCCGGTCGGTCTACCTCGCGCCGCCAGTGGCGCGCGTCAGCGGGGCGGCCCATGGGTGCATCGCCCCGCGCGCGGCCGAGACGGAGCGCGAATCCAAGACGGGCGAGTTCGCCGAGAGCCTCAGCCTCGACCTCTGGCGACAGACCGCGCTCGGGCTCGCGCTCAAACTGATGGTGGCCCATCGCCTTGGGGCCGAGTGGTGGGCTGCCCAGCGGCGGTTCGCCGGCGCGGGGAGCCCGCGGGCGGCGCCGCTCTTCGCGGCGGCGCTCCGTGCAGTCGGCCATCGGCCCCGCCTGCGTGTGCGTGCTGCGACACGGCGGCGCCTCGCGCGACTGCGCCTCGGGCTGCCGCCGATGTGGGGGGCGTTCGACGCCGCGGCCGGCGGCGTTTTTGGTCTTCGGTCAGACGCTGCAAGAAGGGGGGCTGACTGGCGCAGGTGGTCTAGGAGCTGGGGCCCGCTCTGCCGGCCCACGGCGAGCGCTGCGTCGAGCTGCTCGGCGGGGCGGCGCCTGGCCGGCGCTCTCCTGTACCTTGCGGCTCCGCAAGCGGGCGTTCGTCGATGTCTTCTCGGGTAGCGGGCGCCTTTCAGAAGCGGCGTCGACCGCGGGCGTGGCGGCGCTTTTGCGAGGTGTCAGCCTCGGGAAAAGGCGTGACTCGAGGGCCAGGGGCAATCGCCGCCTCTCCTGGGCTGGGTTCGCGCGGGGCTCGTCGCTTCGTGGGTGGCCTTCATGTGGCCGCACTTGGGCCCCCTCGACTCCGATCCGACTCGGAGCCGATGGACCGGGGGGGGCTGTCTCAGGATGATCAGGAAGAGGTGATGCTTGGGATGGCCCTTGTGCTGTTATCCGCCTCGTTGCTCAGATAGCGCAAGGCCGTGCTGACCTCCTGCTCGCTGGAGAATCTTGCTCGCAGTCGCCTTTGGATATGCCCTGCCATGCTCCGGCGATCCAGCTCTCGAGGTGCCTCTCTGTCCACTACTGACTTGTGCCAGTGGGGTATGCCCTGGAAGAAGACCATTATGTTCGTCTCCTTCGGCCTCGAATTCCGCGCTCTCAACCAGGCCATTTGCACGAGTAGCAAAAATGGAATATGCAGTCAAGCTGGGCGTCCCCGTCAGCAGTTCCAGGGCACAAATCTCTCTCTGACAATTTCTATACGCAGTTGGCGGAACCCTACCTTACGCACCTTTTGCAAAGTTCTCGCTCAGGCTTGTTATGAGTATTGGGTCGGTGACAGTTTGGGTAGAATCTACAGTAACATAATACTTTTCGGCTCAGAGCCGGATTGCTGTTTGGGAGTCAGCCGTTTGCGCATGTTTTTCTGGAATGTTACGGCGGCGTTGGCCGCCACCTTTCAGTTTGGATTCGCAGAGGCTCGGCTACATAGACACGTTGGTTGTCTGGCTGAAGAGGAGACGGGGGATGGGGATGGCTTGTGCTTGTACGTGAATCCTGGCCGTCTTGTCGTGTTTCGGCCGCTCGACCCCCAGACGACCCTCACCGCAACCGCGGTGGTTCAAGCTGCACTTCCCCTTCCACCACCGTCAATTCAGAAAGTTTGTCGCTGGTTTCACGCACCATGTTCTTTTGGAAGTTTACGGCGGCGTTGGCCGCCCCCCTGCAGCTTGGACTCGCAGAGGCTCGGCTTCATAAGCGCCCTGGTTGTCTGGCTGAAAATGAGAGACGGGAGCTGGGGATCGTCATCATCACACCCATCATCATCGTCCTCTGTCATCCTCCGCCTCCTCTTTATCTCCCGTCCTCCTCCGCTTCCTCCTCTTCCTCTTCCTCCTGCTCCTCCTTTTGGTCTTCTTCAATGTCCTCGTCCCGATTGTCCTCAGCCTTCCCTTTCTTCGACCAATCCCGCTGGACTTCCGCTTGGCCTCGTCGTCCCTCTCCTCCTGTCCTCCCCTCCCATGCCCAAGCTAAAATTCCTTCTCCTTCTGCTTGTCGTGCGGCCGTCCCGCGGGACGAACATGCGCAATGACCAGAGTCCAGCGTCCTCCTTCTCCTCCTCCCCTCCTTCTTCCCAGGGGATGCGGTCGGGAACCCCAGCTTAGCGCGTCGCGACGCCGGCTCTGGCCCACCGCGCTTCGGCGCGCAACGCTGACCGCGTCCCGGATCCCGCGCTCCTCCCGGCCAACCCCCCGCCCTGCGCAACGGAGCGAGGCGCTATCCGCTCGCCGGGCACAGCGTACGTCGCTGGGGCCGCCGCCGAGACGCGCGGAGGCCTCTCCCCGGCCTCCCCCGCCCTGGCGGAGCGGAGCGGCGCGCCACCCGCTCGCAGGGCACAGCGCGTGTCGCCGGGGCCGCCGCCGCGGCGCGCGCAGCCAGCGCTCCCGGCCGCGTCTCGCCTCCGCTCTCGGCGCGCTCGGGTCGCGCAGGCCCTGCTCGGGAGGTCGGCGGCGGCCGCTGCCGGCGCCGAGGGTGGCGCCGGTGAGCAAACGGGGGGGATGGCGAGCAAGAGGAATCGGGGGCAAGGATAAGGGGGGGTAGGCACAGGGGGGGATGCATCGACATGCAATCGCCCATGGATCGCCGATAGGGGTCTGATAGCCCCAACCCGCCCAGGAAGGTGCGGATTCACTCTCGGGGGCCTATCGCCGATCCATCGGCGATGTATCGCCGATGCCAGGTCGATGCATCCCCCCCTATGCCAGGCCCCCCTTATCGGTGTCCCCGAAGGAACGGGACGAGGAGGACGGTGGAGGTCGGGAGGAGGAAGAGGTACCACTATGGCCACCCTTCCCTTTCGCCTTTTCGGGGCCTGCGGGGAGCCCTCGTCGCCACTGCTGGCCAGAATGCATCACGGGAGAGGTCTAGGGGGTAGTGGTGTGGGCACCCTTTGACTATCCCCTGAACGAGAAGGAGGGTGCAAGATGAGGAGATGGAAGAGGAGGGGCAGGGGAGGGGGAGAAAGAAGACGAGGAGGAAGGAACATCTGAATGCCAATGGTGATGATCATGATGATGACGCTGCTGCTGCTGCTGACGACGACGACGATGATGATGCTGCTAATGATGATGATGACGATGATGATGCTGCTGATGATGATGATGATGATGATGATGATGATGATGATGATAGTGGTGATGATGATGGTGATGCTGATGTTGATGCTCATGCTGATGGTGACGATGATTATGCTGATGATGATGCTGATGATAATGATGATGGTGGTGGCTATGCTGATGACGATGATGATGATTATGATAATGATGGTGATGATGATGATGATGACGCTGATGATGCTGCTGATGATGATGGCAATCAAGATGATGCTGTTGATGGTGATGCTGATGTTACTGATGCTGTTGATGCTGATGAGGGTGATGCTGATGTTGTTGTTCTTGTTGTTGATGATGCCGATTGTGATTCATGGTGATTATGATGATGCTGCTGATGATGACGCTGATGATGATGAGGGTCATGTGAATGCTGATGCTGCTAATTCCGATTATGATGTTGCTGATGATGACGACGATGGGGATGGCGTTGCTCATGAGAATGATGACGATGTTGATGATGCTGATGCTGATGATGGTGATGCTGATTATGATGATGATGATGATGATGTTGTTGATGATGATGATGATGATGATGATGATGATCATGATGGTGACGTTGCTGTTTGTGGTCGTGGTGGTGATGGTGGTGAACATGATGGTGATGACGATGACGGTGGTGATGGTGATGAACATGATGCTGCTGATGATGGTGGTGGTGGTGGTGATGATTGTGGTGATGCTGCTGATGATGATGATGATGATGGTGATGATGATGATGATGATGATGATGATGATGATGATGATGGTGATGCTGATGCTGATGATCATGATGATGGTGGTGGTGGTGGTTGTGATGAATATGCTGCTGATGATGATGCTGATGATGATAGTGATGGTGATTCTGATGATGATGCTGCTGATGCTGATGATGATGCGGATGATGATGACGACGATGATGCTGATGCTGGTGATGTTGATGATGATGCTGATGATGCTGATGATGATGCTGATGATGGTGATTATGAGGATGATGATGCTGATTATGTTGGTGATGATGCTGATGATGCTGCTGATGATGATGATGCTGATGATGATGATGATGATGATGATGATGATGATGATGATGCCGATGACAACGAGGATTAGTTGGAGGAGGAAGAGGAGGATGAGGAGGAGGACGAGGAGGAGAAGTTGGAGGAAGGGTGAGGAGTTGCGGCGCATGGACGTCACACGGAGGGGACGGACCATGATGCGACGGCGAGGGAGGAGGAGGAGCAGGAGGACGAAGAGGAGGAGGATGAGGAGGAGGAGGAGGAGGAGGAGGAGGAGGAGGATGTGCAAGAGGGTGCGGGTAGGTGCGGACAGAGGGTGAGGACGACGGAGGGTGCGGATAGGGTGCGGAGGGTGAGGAGGAGGACGAGGGAGGGTGCGGATAGAGTGCGGAGGGGAAGGAGGAGGAGGAGGAGGGAGATGAGGAGGAGAAGAGCGATGAGGACGAGGAGGATGATGATGAGGAGGAGTAGGCTGAGGAGGACGAGGAGGAAGAGGGGGGGAGGAGGACACGGAGAAGGATGAACGACGACGGCGACGACGACGACGAGGGAGAGGGAGGAGGACAACGACGATGACGATATTAAGGAGACAGACATCGACGAGAGGGAGTGCGGAGATAACACGACCGACGGAAGGAAGGGTGAGGAGGGGGAGGATGGGCTTGAAGCTGTGATGCAGGTCGGAGAAGGGGAGGGACAGGGGTGGGACGGGTGGGGATGGAACACGTGGGTAGCGGCAGGATGCTGAAGAGGAGGGGGATGGCGAAGTAGGAGTCTCAGGAGGAGGGCTAGGAAAAAGGACACGTCTGATAATGGTATGGGTTTGGCAGTTGTGAGGAGGTGGATGAGGAAGACGAGGATGATATTGGAGGGGATGCTGCGAAGGAGGAGTATGAATTGTTGTTGTTGTTGTTGTAAAAGGAAGAGGAGGAGGAGGGGGAGGAGGAGGACAAGGAGCATGTGGGAAAAGATGAGGGTGATGAGGCGGATGAGTGGGCGGAGAAAGAAGAGCAGCAGTAGGATGAAGCTGGGGAGGAGCGGGAAAGGGTTGGGAGGGTTAGGGATGGGTGGGGATGGGCGGGGATTGGTAGGGAGGGGTGAGGATGAGAGGCGTGGGGATAAGAGGCGTGGGACCGGGGAGTAATAACACGAAGAGGATGACAAGGCGGATGTGGCCCAGAACGGGGAGGAGGAGCAGAAGGAGGAGGGAGGAGGCGAAACATGTTGATGACAATGCTGCGGATGAGGATGATGTGGAAGGAGACGTTGAATGAGGCGAGTGTTGATAACCAGGAGGCGAATGTGCAGGGATGGTAAGGAGGATGAACCTGGAACGCATGATGGTGATTATTATGATAATGTCGATGATGGTGATGGTGATGCTGCTGCTGATGACGATGGTGATGATGCTGCTGATGATGGTAATGATGATGCTGATGTTGCTGATGATGCTGCTGATGATGGTGATGATGCTGATGATGATGATGGTGATGATGATGATGATGATGATGATGGTGGTGATTGTCGTAGCGTTTGTTGATGATGCCGGTTTGATGATGGTGATGCTGATGATGATGGTGGTGGTGGTGACGATGATGATGGTGATGGAGGATGATGATGGTGATGGTGCTATTTCAAGCGTTTTGTTTGATGTGCTTCCTCGATGCCTATTTTTCGCTTGTGACTCGACCAAAGCTTGTTCAGCAATCCGACGCGACTCTAAATCGATGGGAAACCATGTTATTGCATGGCTGCGTTGCGTGGCATTGCTTGGGACTGCTTTGCATTGCTTGGCATTGCTCGGCATAGCTTGGCATACTGCTTGGCACACTGCTTGGCATTGCTTGTCATACTGCCTGGCGTACTGCCTGGCATTGCGTGGCACTGCTTGGCGAGGTAGCGAGGAGCCAAGACCAAGGAACCGGGACCAGAGAACCAAGGCCAAGGAAGCAAGGCCCAGAAGCCAAACCTAAGGTATCGAGGATCCCGGACCCAGGAACCAAGGAACCAAGGACCCATTGGAACAGGACCAGCGAGCCAAGGAGCTCAGGAGCCGAGGCCAACAAGCCAAGGAACCAGGGAACCGAGGCCAAGCAACCCAGAAACAAGCGCACCAAGACCAAGACGCCAAGGAACCGAGGGACCGAGGCCACGGAACCGAGGAACCGAGGGACCACGACGAAGGGCCCAAGGCACCAAGACCAAGGAGCCAAAGAACCCGAGGAAGGCAGCGAGGAATCGATACCAAGGACCCCGAGGAACCAAGGGACCACGGCGCGGCATCGGCATGGCCAGGGTGGCCACGGGCCGAGCCCGGAGGTGAGGACGCAGGAAACAGACGGCGCCAATATCGAAGGGGCAACGCCGACTTTCAGTACGCAGCCTGGTGCCCTCGGCGTTGTTGGAGACAGTGTATAGTGATGGTGATGAGGAGGAGGCGAATGATGACGCGGATGATGAGGAGGATTTGGAAGAAGGAGGAGGAGGAGGAGGAGGAGGAGGAGGAGGAGGAGGAGGAGGAGGAGTTGGAGGGGGGGGGAGGAGGATGAGGCGGAAACGGAGATGGAAGTGGAGCCGGCTGATGAGGCAGAGGAGGCGTATATTTAGGAGGGGGAGGCAGAAGAGAAGGGAGGGAAGAGGAAGGGAGGGAGGGCGGGAGGGCGGGAGGGAGGACCGGTGGGAGGAGCCTGTTCCCAGGAGTCGCTCCCCCGCCCCAGGTGGCTTCTCCACCGGCGCGCCGCTGCTGGCGCCCGGCCAGAGCCTGCTGGCGGACGTCACCATGCTCGCCGTGGGCTACGCGGCGCTGCTGTCGTCCGTGCCCGTCGTCGTCTCCGTCGCGCTCCTGGCGTGGGCGGCGCTGGCCCGGCGGCGCTCCACCGCCGCGGGCCTGCCGCCCGCCGCGGGCTGGAGCCCCGCGGGCGTGCGCGGCGCCCTCGCCGCCTGGTGCCTGGA